TAGGAAAATTTTGTGTTAGGAGTGAACTGTAGCCGTTATATTAATGTAGATTGGTGGAAAAGATAACCCAAAATGTCTTACATGATGTCAATGTGCGACGTGATGCCCACAATCTCTGAGGACAATGTGAGTCAGCGCAACTCATCGTTTGGTGGAGAAGACCCAAACTTTGAGGAATTGATGGTCTCCATGCTAGGGGAGCGCCAGAAGCTAATGGAAACAAATCGTGATATTCAAGAACGACTCCATGAAACAGAAACACGATTACATGAAGTGGAAGAGGAGAGAAACAATTTACAAAAACAGATAGATGCCAACCTTCCTCAGGTAGGAACAAAATAAAACTGAGTGCCAGATTTTTGAACTCTGTTACACATACTGGCCCAGACTGCCAGAAATGAAAAATGTGTGAATTTCTGAAGATGTAGCAGCATCATTTATACATGTGTAGTGTAAATCTGAGTGCCCGGTTTGGTAAATAATTGCACCAGTTTTAACTCATAGAATGTGAATTTTGAAATGATTTGTGATGCTGCAAAGATAGTTTCAAGCAAACATAAAAGTCATCCAAAAATCACTTCAGAATTTGTGTAATTTGGTCTAGCTTGAGTGTAGTATGTAAGCATGAGGTGTGATGCACCAGTGCCCTGTAGGTGTTTATGACAGTGGATTTGATTATTTTTTTGGCACTTGGGTTGCTATGCAAGCTATCTAACTAACATGGGGAAGGTTGCAGTGCTGAGGCCAACCTGAAAAGATGGGTGGGCTACTAGATGGGGGTGTGGAGCAGGTCCATTCCAGACTTAAATGGGGTAGCCAACTTCTCTGCTTATGTGAGGCCTAAAAATCTGATAGCTGGTAGGTCTCCAAAATTTTGTGTGACATTCTTTTGCATGTACTGGCTACTGACTTGGGTCTAGTTGCATCTACTGCATACTAATTACACCATTGCTATGTCAAGGGCAGTCAGCATCACATATATGACATACCATTCAATGCTTTCCATGGCATTTTTGCTTTACCAGTTTTGCAGCATGCTAAAAGGCATCACAATTGGCAAGGCAAAAAATAAAACCTTGTGGCTTTGGATCAATTATCTTGACCACTGGCCTATCTGGTGAGAGGTATGCTGCTAGTTTACCTGTTCAGTGCAAGGAGAAGAACCCAAGCTTCTATCACATTCAGATAACTGTGACATAATTAAGATAAATGCAGCACATAACTACAGGACATTGGAGACAAGTGTGGTCTTTGGCTGCCCTTCCAGTCATGCATGGCCTTTCCCATATCATTGTCTAGACTTGAGGCTTCTTTTTTGGGGGTTCAGTCAAATTTATGTCATAGCTCAATACCTGGCCCAATGCTCCATGAGCTGCACAGATGGAGGAATTCCTGTGCCCAAACTGCCTTAACCTGTCCCACCCTGCATCAACAAGGTCTTGTCAAAATCTTTAAATCTGTTGTGTTATGCAGACTGAAACTGAGGTGAAATGTACCATCCCAGTATGTGTAAAATTCATTTGCTGCATGGGAGACTTGTATGAAGTCCTGGTGCACACAAAGAGCACACATCTGACAAGCTGGGGCCTGGGAAGATTGTACTGAAAACAAATCCACAACAAAAACATGAATTCAAATGCAGTTTATGCTGGAACAGGATCACTTCCAAGTTTTTAAACACAATATAATTCCACCTGCACAGCAAATTTTCTGAGAAGCAAAATTGGTTTTAATTCATGGGTCCCTCAGGCAACTCTTTGTTTCCAATGAAACATGAACATGGTGCTCAGACATCTTTAAAACTATGAATAACATTATAAACATGCATTTTAAAGATATTACATAACTATGTAAAGGTGCATAGTTATGAAATTTTCCCTTCTATGAATCTCACCTATGCTTCATATAATGGCAGACGACGCTTTCTTCGGGGCACAAACGACCTGGTGATCTTGTTCTTGGGCCTCTGGAAAATCCACACCATCTGGCCAAATATTGGACATAGGCCACCAGGAGGCAAGGGCTTACATTGAGTTCAAAGGAAATCAGGCATAATTTTCACTTGGGGCTATGGCATTGATGACTTACAAAAATGACCATTGCAACTATTGATATTTCTACTCACTTGAACATGTAATGAGGATATAGGTTTACATCTTGTGGTATATGTTAGAGGGTGTTTACCATGTGTGTCATGTTATGGGATAACAGTAATATTTACAATGTACAGAACTGATACCACATCTGTGTTATTATCCTCATTTTGTGGCGCTGTTTTTAATTTAGATCAAACAAGGTTAAGGCAGTAGTTGAGCATCAGTCAATTGCAGAGGTACCTGTACCTTGGCCACGTCCTATAAACATTGATGCTGGTCTTAGTAGGCTGTTATGTGTATGCCGAACCCTGCCTGTGTGTATGTTCTGTAATGGATCAATCATGAAGCCATCCAAACTCAAGCAAAGTTTTGTTGCATCACATGTGTATCTCTTAAGAAGACATGCATGATGAGCTTTGTTTACAATATAAACTTAATGTGATCCAATGCCTAGCAATAAGGGTTCCAAAATTGTTCAGCCTCCGACCAGGGACATTAATGGTGGTTTCTGTACCAACCATCAGCTTCCCCGTTTCCTCGGACAAAAACCCTAGAGATGCCCTTATCTCCACAAAATGACACCTTTTTGGCATTGGTTCATGCTTTGCACATGTCCCTCCATCAGTTGTCTGTACTTATTGGTTGTATCATTGGAAGTGTTGAAAGGCCCAAATTACCTTGTGAGTTTGAGCTGTGCCGGACAGGATCAGAAGTGCCTGTATGGCCTTTAGATACAAAAATTGTACCCCAAAGGAGGGTGCTTGGGATTTAAAGACATGACCAAATTAACACTGCTATTTTGGTGTCTACGTCAGCTGCATTGAAATAAAGGATTACTGGTGTTAGTGCAAGGATGGCTTTACTCTGTGGTTTAAATTTCAATGGTACCATGACAAACATATGCGCCATGTTTTGTGCACTCATCTCTTTTCCCCATTTCGTCAGGGGAACTGTGCCATGGGACAGGTAGAATACATTTGTATGGTGGTATTGTCTATGCTGTGTGGTTCAGGCTACAGACTGTGGCCATTGTGTCACCACTCTCTCGTCATGCCCGGGGCATCTGCTGCATTCTGGTGGCCGGCCAGGGGACCTGTTCGCCGTTGCCGGGACTATCTGCTCTTGTCGTGTTTTCCGCTGCTCGCGCACGCGGGCTGACGCGTCCGAAGCACATCAGGAGAATGGACATATTATATGTATATGTTATGGTGTATTTGTGTGTATCATTCGTCCCAACCTGGGCTTGGTGTTGGCACAGGGCCACTACAACAATCCCAGTGACAGCGAGTCTGGTGCAATGCAATTTAAACCAGTGTTTTATGGCATGAAGAAGTATGCTGCCAGTTGCGGGAATATTTGTGGGTTCCTTTCACTTTGTCTATTTTCCGGAGATTTAGGCGTTTTTGTTCGTTGCGTTGCTCACAGGCGCGGGCCGCCGCGGCTGGACCGAATGTCTGTCCGCCGTCACGTGTCGCTCGCCCGGCATGCGCGTATGTGTGCGTGCGTGTGACGCCGCTCTCCCGGCTGATAAGATAGACTCGCCGGGGCAACGGGCCGACCTGCCGCAGCTTACGTCACCACATGTGTACTGAGGCCCGGGACACGCTCCCCACCAGCAAATAGCTGCACGAGAACCGCTCCCCTGGGCCTCGAGCGCAGTATTAGATTCTGTGCGGATGAAGACTAGGTGGACGTCTGAGAAGCGCGGGAGTCCCGTTGCGTAGACGCGATCGGACCGGAGATTGATGGCTTCCGTTTTTTTCATGTTTTGTCAATGGATCTCTCCATTGTACATTTGCCTATCTATAGTACAGCGTGACGCGCTGTTGATCTTTATGTCTTTCTTCTAAGTTTCACCTCATGATAGTACATTTATGCATTATAGCTTTCGTTGAAGTATCAAAACTCACGAATCTCTGTCTCGCATTTTGCTTCAACAATCTTGTCCTTGGTGTCTTCCGTTGACGTGATCATGTGGGCTCTTGATTAGTAGGTCATTGACTTTTGTGATGCGTTGGGAAGACGAATAAACCGCAAGACAATAAGGTTGTGTGACGTACACGCCTGGACTTCCTTTTTCCAGCGTTGTGGTGCCGTTATGTTCGGTGAGAAAGACTTGTGTTTGTGCCCCTGACGGCAGCTCTCTGTCATCTGCCTGGTCTTCCGTAACCGCGGTCGGCTCGCGCCGCAGGAATTCACGTCGTTGACGAAGGACCTGAACCAGGCGCGGCAAGAGGCGTCGGCGCTCACCAAAGAACTGAACCAGGCCAGGGACCAAATACTGGAGAAGGAAGAGGAGATTGCCGAACTGAAAGCGGAGAGAAACAACACCAGGGTGCGTATGCTCTGGGCGCGTGGCGATCGCAAACAGAACGCCTCATAGCATGGGGTCCATCACTAACATTCTTTGTTGGATGGATGCACATAGAGTTATCGCACATTCTGATGCTGGAAGTGCTTCAGGCGCCCGCATTATCCCATCCCAGTCTGGTGGCTGGACGTGACGCTGCAGCTGCGGCATCACGTGCGGCCCTGCGGCCGGTGCCACCCGTATCCGGCGACCGAGCCGGCGCGTTTCCGCGGTTGACCGTGTGCCGGCTGCCGCGGCGTCGCCAGCGCTGTGGCACTGCGGCGCGCCCCGCCGCCGCAGGAGCCCGCCGATTGGGTGGGTCAGTCAGCAGGCGCCGCAGGCGAAGTTTCATTTTATCTCGCAGTGTCCTTACAGCGTGCCCACGCTTCCGCCACCTTTACTCTTAGCTCCTGGCTGAGGCGTCACTTGACCTCATCGTCCTCACAGCGTGCCCACGCTTCCCCTCCGGCTCCCAGGCTAAGTTGTCAGCTGACCCTGCTGCTGTGCTCACTGTGATTCACCCTCCTGTCCTCATTGCCCGCTTCCTCCTGCACCTTGGCGCGACGCCTCGTGCCATCGGCGTGCGCTGTGACTGGCAGCCATGAGACGGCATCGCCGCCGCCCTGGCGCCGAGCCCCATCCGAGCGTCCACAAACCCCCGGCTGCGTTCCGTGTGCAGGGTAAGTGTCTGTGTGGAGGGTAAGCCAGAACGCCACCGCCTACCTCAATCCCCTGGATTATCAGCAGTGGCCGGAAGAGTTACAGCCTAACCCTGAAACAACTGCCTGACGTTGGCACCGCACTCAGCACTTCCCACAACACCCACTGTGCTTTGTGCTCGCCCGCTTCGGCAGATGCTGCCGCTGGAGCGGCCGGTGTCTGGTGGCGCGGTGCTCACTGTGCACGCGTTCATGGCGTCGGGCGCTTTGGCAGCTGTTGCTGGAACACCTGGAATGTCTGGTGGCGCGGCATGAGAAGTCGCTCAAGATGACCGTGGTGAAGCGCCAGGCGGCCGCCCAGCAGGGCGTCTCCTCCGAGGCCGAGGTGCTCAAGGCGCTCAAGAGCCTGTTCGAGCACCACAAGGCGCTGGACGAGCGCGTCCGGGACCGGCTGCGAGTCGCGCTCGAGAAGAACAACGCGCTGGAGGAGGAGCTCAATAACACCAAGGACGAGGTACGGTCCGGGGCTGCACGAGTCCGAGATTGGATCGCCCTGTGTCTGATTTGATAAAATATTATGTGTCTGTTCTGTTCGTCGTCCGGCCCGCTGTCTGGACGGGTTGTGTCTTGTGAGTCTCGGTGGGAGGCGTTCTAAAGTTGACTTAGCCGTGGCGCAGTGCGGACTGCCGTCCACTGCCCGACCTGACCTGACCTGAATTGACCTGACTATCTGATCTGATCTGATCTGACCTGATCTGATCTGACCTGACCTGACCTGACCTGACCTTGAGCTAACCACTGTCCTCCCGCCGCCAGCTGAACTGGGTGAAGCTGGGCAAGCTGGAGGCCAAGCCGGCGCCGGCGGCTCCGGACGCCGGCGGCGACGCCGAGGCGGAGGCGCCGTCCAACGGGCACCCGGCCGGCGCCGGCGGCTCGCTCACCAACGGCGGCATCGAGGCGGTGGCCGAGGAGGCGGCCGCCGAGCTGCGCAAGATCATCGAGATCCAGGTGAGCGCGGCAGCCGGGCGCCGGCTCCGGCTCCGGGACTCGGCTGCGCTGACCGGACGGCGGCCGCGGGCTGGCCGGCGGCGGCCGACGGCCTGCTGTTTGGTGGGCGCCCCGTGTTAGCGGTGTGGACAGCCGCTGTTCGGGTGGACGGTTCTGGTTAGTTAGTGAACCGCTATTCCGGTGATTAGTTCGTGAAAGACTGTCGCCGACGGCTGGTTTTTGTCCCTGTCAGAGTGCGTAGACGCCTCGTCCATTTGATGGATCGAGATACACGCCCGTCAGTATGTTGATAAAAATGAATTGATTGGCGTAAGACAGCCAATTGATTGTTTAGTTAACATTCCCAGATGTTGCTATGCTAACCAGTCATGAACGATTACTGACGATTGGATGCTCTGGGTCACGCGGCGCTCGTGCGTTAGAGGTGGCGAACGGCGACCGGCCGCCGGGGGCCGCGCGACAACCCACACTTCCACGCAGGCCACGTTTTGGCAACACGCCCCACCGACACCCGGGGGTCCGACATGGCGTGCCGTAGCGGGTCGGGCTCTCACTTTGCGTCGGATGTGAGTGTGCATTGTTATCGCCGTTGGCGCGCCCTAGAGAGCTGGCTCCAGCGGCGCCACCGCAGGCGGCCGAGCGAGCTGGCTCGTGCGGCGTCTGTTAAACACGGCACGCACCGGCCATGGTGGCTGCTACGTCTCAGCGCTCTGCGGAAGGCGACGATGCCGATCTGGCGTGGATGCGATGGGTATTGGTCGTTCACAGCGCTGGATGCCGCGGCCTCCTGAGATAAATGTGGGCAGCAATGCGGCTGATGGATGGGATGCGAGAGGAACAACGATATACGCTGTTGAGAGCCCTGGAGTTCGGTGTGCCTCCGGCCTCGGCCCTCCCCGAGCCGACCCCGGCCACCCGGGGTGGCCCCGGCCCCCGCGGGCTGGCCCCGGCCGCCCCGGGCCGTGCGCACGCCGTGCCGACGCCGCTGCTAGTGCGCCACGCGCCGCGGCCCAACCTGCTCCGCTCCAACCATAACGTGGCCTGTCAAACACGATTGGCGCCGGGCGGGCAGAGTGTGGCGGGGCGCTGGGCCAGCGGAGGGCCGGCCGGCGCGTGCCAGCGGCCGCCCGGCGCGGCCCGCTCCCACGGACAGCACTGCTGGCTGACGCCGTTTTCGGACGAGCGCCGGCGGCCCGGCTTTGATGCTGCCTTCAGGCCGTGACAGCGCCCGTCTAGGCAGCGGCGGCGCCTGGCTGGATGTGTCAGGAGCGGTGGCCTTCGGTGTACCTGGTGTGCAGTGTCCCCCCCCCCCCCGCCGTTCCGGACTGAGGCCGGCGGGGTGGCGTGCTGACGTTCACAGCAGGGGTGCCGTGCCGTTGCGTGCCACCTGAAGATCGGTTGCTGACGATATGAGCATTAAACAACCGCAGATTGTCCGTTGATGGCCAAACAGAGAGTCCAGCGGCGAGGACGTCCCATTGGTCGGAATGGGGCGCCGTACAAGGCGAGACCGGCTTATGTCGGCTCAGTATCCTCCACTGGATGCTAACCGGACAGATGCGACGCGGTGGAAAACTGGCACATTGAGCATGGCCAGTGATGGCGTACGTTTACCTGGCTAGAACTCCGTTCGGGTATTTCGCGCTGTCCAAACGACACCCGTGACCTAAGATAGTTTTTATTAGCTGAACGTGTTGCCCTCAAATATTCATTTGACGGCTACTTGCGCCTATTGAGATGCGTGAGCGGGCAGGAGCACGTGCAGCCGGCTGGTGGGACGGCTTGGATTAAGTCCGCCACTGGCCCGGTACGGCAGCAGACGGCTGGCGACGAGCCCCGCCGGCGAGTCCGGCTCCCAGTCGTGTGTTTGTATGCGTGTGTCGCCAAACGGCCGGTGAAATCGCCGCATTCCGGCCATCGCGGCGGGAGAGACGCCGCGCCGAGGCGTCGGCATTCCTCTCGTGGTCGGGAGGGCTTCCCATTAGGCGCCGGCCGGGTTACGTGCCGCCGCTGCGGCCGGCCGGCGCGTGCGGCGCTCCTGGCGCGGCGACCGCTGCCACCCGGCATACACCCGCTCGGTCTGCGGGCGGCCGAGGCTTGTGTCCGGCAGAGGCAGTGTCCGGTGTGGCAGTCAGTGACTGTCGACCATCCCGCAGTGCCCGTCCTTCCTGCCAGGGCGAGGGCAGGCGACGCCGTGTAGCCTCAGCTGCTGAGTGTGTCATAAAGCCTCAATGGCACACGACTGTCGACCATGCGGTGACGGGATTCCGGTATTCGTGTCGCGCTGCCATTTATAGCGTGCGGTTTTTTGTGGGCGTCTTACCGCGTGGCGGGTGCCCAGGGCTCACGTGGGTATGCCGTCTGCTACATGGGAGAACTAGGTCCGCTTATCTGGCGACAACAACGGCCTTAACGTTACAGGTTGTTACTGATGTTGTTGTCTTCTGTTGTGCTTATCAGATGTAAATAATTAAGGACGAGATGCGCCGCGGTACCAGACATCAATCGCTCACGCAGTGTAGGCACTTTCACTCACCAAGAAACAGGGAGCTTCGTCTCGGCGCTGTCGGCCCTGCGCTGCGCCGCCGGTGTGCTTGCGGACGACAGGTCCATACGTTCGTGGTGGTGCGTGGCCGCCAGTGCCCCGCGCCACGCTGTCCAGCGCGCCGCCACTGGACACGGCCCTCTCGCCACATAATTGGTCAGCCCATCATGCAGAGACAGATCTACTTGTGAATGGAGCAGACGGCGGTCCAGTGGCGTGTTGGTGAGGGGGCTGGCGTTGACCTCGACCCCGCACCGTGCCGAGGCGGACCCAACGGCCGCTGCACCTCCCTGGAGCGCACCGTCTCTCGTCAGCCGTGCTGGGTGTTGTTCCCCCGTCCCAACAGCGCGCGTGGTGTATCCTTTTAGAGGGACGCCCTGTCACTGTGATAGGCGTAGCTTGGCAGAGTTTCCTCTCGGGTGGCAGCGTACAGTACACGGGCGTGCCGTGGCCCAGGCTGTAGCGGACCACCGCCGGTGGAGCGGGCGGCACGCACCGCCTGAACCGTTTCGGCGGTGGTCGCGGCTGAGACGCACTGACGGCCATGTCGGTGCCGTCTGCGAGACGAACGGGGACGCTGCGGTGTCAGAGGCGCGGCCAGGACGGAGCGGACGGTACCACCCTGCCCCCCCCCCCCCTCCGGACATGTGCAGTCGTCCGCGTGGTGTCGGCCGTTGCCGCCGTCGCCACCGGCGGCGCCGGCTCTGACGGCTGCCGCCCGCGACAGGCCGGCGACCGGGCGGCCGCTTGCTCGAGGCGCGCCCCATCGCACTCTCGCAGCCTAATGGGCGCATGCTTTGCACAGGCGACGGCGCCGGCGGCGGTGGTCGGGCGATGTCTGCCCCCTCCCCCTTACCATCAACAGGCAAACAGCGGCCTGACCCGGTGGCACCGGCGGCGGGCGAGCCGGCGTCACTGAGGGGATCTCGGCCGGCCGGCCAGAGCTTGGTCCAGCGGGGCGGCTCTGTTGGCCGTGCCTCGGGCGCCAGTGGCTGCCGGGGCGCCGCCACAGACCCGATGGCTTTGTTCCGCCGCTGCCGGGCCGCTCGCAGCTCGCTGTGTGGCGTTGAGTTACTGTGCTGCTGAGCCCCATCGAACGCCCGACTGGCGGAAGCGCTCGAGCCTTTCCGAAAACTCGACACGTGATGGTCGATCCTCGGGGCAGACTCTTCCTCGAATACTGTAACTTGGCAGCGGCCTCCAGTAAAGTGCGGAAATTTAGCCGGCCAGCCATTTTTCAGCTGCAGGGCTAATCTAGACGCATATTGATACTGGGCACATTTTACCGGTCGCGCTGCAAGGCACGCTTGTCCTGAAACAGACGGCGCATGATGAGAGGGCCGCTCGTTTCCCCGTAAACACCGCGTCTGCGGACCAGCCGGCAGCGTTAGCCCGAGAGCGTGATGCACAAACAGTCCCACTTGACGGTAATTGGCCTTGCCGCTCGAGGCAGCTCGTCACGTGTTGGTTGGTGGGCCGGGGCGCCGGTAAACACATCACCCCGGCGAAGCATCGCCGGCCACGCCTCCAGTGCACATCCATGATCAGCCGTTGGCCTGTGCGGGACCCAACGGTGGCCACCGGCGCCCTCCCGCCGGGCGGGCCCGTGACAGTGCAGCCACCGCGCGCCCCCGGCGCGGGTGATTAATATCCGCTGCACCCTCCGTCCGGCCTGGCGACGGCCGCGCCCGCTGCTGTTGCCCCGGACGGGCGCGGCCGTCCAGGCCGGGATGAGCGGGGCGGCGTCGGCGGCGGCGGAGGGCGCCGCCGCCCGGCTCGCCGGCCCGCACAGGCACCGGCTTTCAGACGCACCCTCGGCCAGCCACCGGCCGCCGGCGCCGGCGGCAGCGCTGTTTGGCCAGAGTGCGATCCGGCCGTGTAAACAGTCGATCAGCGCGCCGATCGGTGCATCGATCTGCCGGCCGGAAGTGGTGCCGCCCGTCGGCCCGCCCGTCGGTCCAGCCGACCGACGGTCGGTCGTCCCCGGCCTTGGATGTCACGCATCGCCACCCCCGGGCGGAGACCGCCTCCCCCCCCCCCCCCCACCTCCGCCTCGTGAACAGGGACTGAGACCGTCTCTCCCCTCCCTTCTGAACAGGGACCTCCACCGTCTCTTCCCCCGTTATTGGACAGGACGGACACCGCCTCACCCCCGCTCCCCTTTGAACAGGAACCTTCACCGCCTTTCTCCCCCCCCCCCTCCCCCCCGTTCTGAACAGCGACCTCCGCCGCCTCTCCCCATGCCCATGATCACAGACCCATCCCGCCTCGCTCCTTCCCCTCCCGCCCCCCCCCCCCCCCCCCCTGAAGAGACACAGCCCCGTCTTCTCGCCTGCGAACGGAGCGAGGCCCTGTCTACCCCGCTCGCCCCTTGTCTGCCCCGTCTGCTTGTCTGCGTATGTGCCCATCCTACTATCTGTCTGCACTGGCTCGAGCACCCGTTTCCCGGCGTCGTTGTGTCCCGTTGCCCGTGTTTGTCTATCCATCAGTCCGTCCATCAGGTGTCCGGCCCTGTGTCCCCGTCTGCCCGCCAGCGGACCTGTCCGCACAGGCACCGCCGCCACCGCCGCCGCCGCTGCGGCCGCTGGAATGACGTTGTTGTCGGTAATCTGATTAAGGGAGTGGCCTTTGTGTCGCCGCCGTGCTCCAAACATTCCGTCACCTGACGTGTCAACAAAGACAACGGCCGCCCGCCGGGCATGCCTCGCAAGTCGGATTATGCTGTTTGGCAAATGAGCTCCACTTGGGAAGGCGGCACCACGCACGGAGAAGCACGGCATGAAGTTGCCATTTCTGGGCGCAACTTGCGAAGCGGTGGCGGGCGCGCTGGCGTGGCGGCGTGGCGGCTCGGCGCGATCAGCGGCATTTCAAATATGTTGATCACGGCAGGTCGGGCGGCTGGAGTTGGGCTGCCTGCGGGGCGCTCCCTCAGTGGTGGGGAAGGCTGCCGCGGGTCGTGTATACCGGCTGGCTGGCTGGCTGGCTGGTTTGTTGAGATTGTCCGACCCACTCTGATGTGAGTCATGACAGGCTGACCTGCCTGGTCTGTGGCGCGCAGCCGGCGGGCCCAGCTGCGACCAGCAGCAGTGTCCACCGACGGATGTAGTGACGCCGCACCTCATCTCCGGCGCCAATTTCTTAGATCACCCTGTGGTGTGGAGATCTGGGAATGATTGCAGAGATCGAGCCCGGGAGTCCGCTTCCACCCGCCGCGACCGCCGCCCGGACGGCGTGTCGGCCGCACGACGCGCCCGGCTGGGGCCCGCCCCTCCGCTCCGCCGCCCCGGTGACACGCCTCGGTCGTCAGCGGCGACGCCGCGCCGGCCGTCTCCGGAGCCGCCGCCCACCTCTCGGCCGACGGCCTGCCGGCTTTGTCCGCCGGCGCCGGCCGTCTCCGGCGCGCCGGCCGCGCGGCACGGCCGCATTCACGTGGCGCGGCCGGCGCCGGCCGCGCCCGCATTGTTGCCGCCGCGCCGGCCCGGTTTTTGCTGCCGCGCCGGCTGGCTGCTACGTGCAAACGGCCCGAGCCGCGCTGAATGGAGCCGCGGTAAATGAGAGCGACAGGGACGGTGCTCGACGGAGCTGCGGGGGGAGGGAGCGGTGCTGCATGGTGCGCCGGTAGCTGACAGTGGGAACGACGCTGAGTGGTGCGGTGGTAAATGTTGACGACGGGAACGGTGCTGAATGATGCTGTAGCGACAACGAAAACTTTGTTAAATGTTGCCGCGGTACATAAGTCTGGCGGGAACGGTGCTGACTGATGCTGTGACAATAGCGAGAACTTTGCTGAATGGTGCTACGGTACATAAGCGTGGCGGGAACGGTGGTGACTGATGCTGTGCCAACAGCGAGAACTTTGTTAAATGTTGCCGTGGCGCATAAGCGTGGCGGGAACGGTGGTCACTGATGCTGTGGCAACAGCGAGAACTTTGTTAATGTTTCCGCGGCACATAAGCGTGGCGGGAACGGTGCTGACTGATGCTATGGCAACAGCGAGAACTTTGCGCATTGGTGCTGCGGTACATAAGCGTGGCGGGAACGGTGCTGGTTGATGCTGTGGCAACAGCAAGAGCTTTGTTGAATGGTGCTGCGGTACATAAGTGGCAGGAACGGTGCCTACTGATGCTGGGGTAAACAAGGGTGGCGGGAACTAACCTGAAGGTTCTCTTGCGGATGATAACTGTGGGAACGCACATCAATGACCTGTGGGGACGTAGATGAATGAACGGTGGTAGATGAGAGCGCTTGGAGCTGAGATAGACGGTTCGCAGGCCGATTGCAACGGCGTGAGCGGAAGGGAATGGTGCGTTGCTGAATGAGAGCGAAGAAACGGCCATGAATGTCGTGGTAAATGATATCGCCGTGGTGTGTTGGCTTCTATTTCAGGCTGGAATGGACTTGAATTCAGCGCTGGTAAACGATACGGAAGGAGACGGTATGAATGACGCATGATTGGATCAAAATGACTGGATCTTAACTGGACGTCATGCAGGCGGGGTAAGGGGCGGGCACGCCGGCCTGGCCCGACACCAGCGTGTCGCCGCCGGTGCCCCAGTGCCGGTACTCCGGGCGGCCGTGCGATCAGTGTCAGCGGTTCCAAGTTCCGTCAGCTAATTAAAAGCGGCCTGAACAGCGGTAAATTACGGAGTGGAAATTGAGAGCGATGCCGACGGCACCCGATGCCCGTCATGCCGTGCCGCAAAGGGAGCCGCGGCACGAACCGACCGCAGCCCCGCCGGAATCGGCCGTAATGACACCGGACGGCTGTAATGACACCAATCGGACGGTGTGCACTGCATGCATGGGGCGAATGCCCGGCTGGCCGGCATGGAGCCGTGCGAACGCTCTGGTGAGCCCGGTAGACGAGACTATGAGGAGACTGTCAGGCTGAGACGGAGACTGATGCTGCCAGGCACGGGGGTGATGCAGGTCTACGGACCAACCTCGCGCCGGAAGCCTGGCACCAATCCGTAGTGACTTCAGGGTCGTGGTGTCGGAGTGGACTTGAGGGCGGGTGCAGAGTATAGACGCGTTGGAGGTGCGGAGCGGCATGATGATGATGATAATAACTGGGGCCAGAGGCGCGCCGACGGCCGGGGTCATTGTCCGCCCAGCGGAACGACTGGACGCGCTTGTTTTGAGTCATGTTTTAGCTTGCGCGCGCTTATGGCCAGCCCACCTCGTCATCCGCCGCAGCTTCCGGTTCGGGTTTGCCCGTGAATAACCGCTCGCTGAGGCGTCGCTTGAGCACGAGCGGGCCCCTGCAGCCGGGGTACGCACCCGACCAGCACCGGCAGTGTTTGTTGTGACGATCCCCGACAGACGACTGACAAGACAGCGGTCTGCATCGTGTTGCCGTCACCGCCGTGCGTCATGCGTCCGGAATGGCGGTCGATGCGTGACGAGGCGGGTGTTGGCGCCGCGCGAGCGGCGCTCGCGAAGTCTGGCCGCGTGTCGGCCGTCTGCGCGTACGACGTCCGGCGTTGTCGGCCGTCGCCGCTCGGTGCACCTCATTTATCACGCGCGCCGGACAGTGCGTGGTGTTGTGTGTTGTTGAGTGCGGGCCTCTCTCGCCTCGGCCGGCCTGGCCGTGTTGACTGTGGTCGGCGTTGTTCGCCTGTCGAACGCGTGCGTGTGGTCACGCGTCCGCCGTCTGGCCCGCAGACCACCGAGATCACCGCCTCCCAGCGGCGCGTCTTGGAACTACAGACGCGCGTCGCCGAGCTAGAGGACGCACTGGCGCGCTGCCAGAAGGACCTGGCTAAGGAGCGCGACGTCACCAGCAAGCTGCAGCGGGACCTGAAGGAGAACAACGCTCAGAAGCTGGACCAGGTGCAGGCGCGGCGGGTGGCCGATGGCGGGCCGCCGGCCGGTGGGCTAGGCACGAGACGGACTGCCAGTATACTTCTGTTCTCGGGGAAACGGTACAGGTCCTCGTGCCATGTCCACCGGGAGGGCGAACATCGTGTCGCGCCATATAGACGGGTGCGGGAGAGTTTACATGGACACACGCTGCGCTGAACGACCACCGAGACGTTTGTGACTTCCCCACATGCGCTTTCATTCTTAACACGTGCTTCCTTGTAATCGCCAAACGCCGACGACGCCGCTGTCTGTGTCTCCACGTCTGTATGGCCAGCTGCCGACGGCTCTGACGAGCGGCCGGCGGCCGCCCCGGCAGGAGGAGCGAATCGCCACGCTGGAGCAGCGGTACCTGAACGCTCAGCGTGAGTCGACGGCGCTACGCGACAACGGCGAGAAGCTCGAGGAGGAGCTCAAGAACAAGGAGGCGCAGCTCAAGCTGCAGAACGAGAAGATCCTGGCTATCCAGGAGAAGCTGGAGCTGACGGAGCAGAAGCTGGCGCAGTACTCGAAGCTGCCGGACGTGGAGGAGGAGCTGCGCCGGAGGATGGCAGCCCTGACGCAGGTGGGCCGCCGCGCAGGGCGAGCGGGATGGGACAGGGCGCTGTGGAGCGGCCTGTGGACTGGGGTCGGGGCAGTCTGCTGCCCGCTGTTCTGGACCGGACACCTCCCCCGCGAGACTGATACAGACATATTTGTTGGTACGGGTATCCACAATTGGCATTGGTCGTACGTTTACCTGACAAAAATGCCATATCGTGTGGGTCATGTTGCCTGTTGTATCAAGGCCGTGATGGTGCAGGTGGTGCTCAAGTGATTGCACCAAATCGATCCCTCTTTTCATTGAAATGACAGGTTGTGTTATTGTGTTGCCGAGTCGGCGCTCGCCATCATTTCGCGTTTCCGTGCGGGAAGGTCCGTGGTTGTGGCACTATGACGCGGCCTTGTGGCGGGTCGCTGACCCGGCCGTGTGCGCAGGCGCAGGAGCGTCACGGCTCGGCCGAGGACCGGATCGGCCGGCTCGAGTCCCAGCTGGAGGAGAAGGGCAGCGAGGTGATCCGCATGGCGCAGCGGCTCAAGATGAACGAGGAGCACAACGCCCGCCTCTCGGCCACCGTCGACAAACTGCTCTCCGGTGAGGGGAGAGAGGGAGCGAGAGACGGCAGGGGACACGGAGCGTTGAGGGTGTTGTAGGAGCAGCAGCTGGTCGTGCGCGGGACTCCTAGTGCGCTGGTGAATCCGACTTTTGGCCCGGACCGGACCAGTCGGAGCTGGGTATGCATTTGTGCGTGCGTCTCCATGACACGGCCGGCGCCCCCGTTGTATCACAAGATGCGAAACGGTCTGGAGTGTTTGCGGCGTGTTGTACGCGGGCACGTTGGAGCAGTGCGGACCCGGCCGATGGGGTCAGGGACGTCTCCGGACTGGGCCTCGCTGGGATGGGGTCAGCGGCTGCCGTCGGCAGGCTGACGCGCCTCACCGCCCCATCCCCCTCGGTCGCCAGAGTCTAACGAGCGGCTCCAGCTGCACCTGAAGGAGCGCATGACGGCGCTCGAGGAGAAGAACTCGCTGACCCAGGAGCTGGACCACACCCGCAAGGTGCTGGAGGACATGCAGCTGGAGAAGGTAGGCTGGTGGGGCGCCGTCCAGCTCCACGCACTGGGTCCAGGAGCGCGCCCGGGCTCCGCCGACATTCCACGGAAGCGGGAGAGCGGGCCTGGGTGGCTGACGGGCTGTTGGTGATGCCACTGAGGTGGCGGTCTACACTGGCGTTGCCGACGTTTGCCCCCGGTATCGGATCAAAGTCGTTGGAGAATATCCAAGATAGTGTGCTGTAGGCAGTGAATAACTTGGTCTCAAGTCATCTAACACGCGAGCGTTGAAAATATAATGCAAAATGTTTTGCTTTTGCCGTTCAGAGAACATCAGGATGTAGCCATCAGTAAAGCACCTAAGCGAGAACCCTGGTGGCAAATGTGTTCTTGCTGCTATTATTTTGAGAAAACAGCACTCATTACCACCTCACATTTACAGCTGATTGGCGGGTTGCGTTTTTGCATGTTCAATATTTCAATTTTTATAGTCATCTAGCATAATTATGGCATTGGCCTATAGTATAGGTGTACATATGTTGAACACAAATACTTTATTTTTAGCATTGGCGCAAGGCATGAAATTTAGGATTTTGAAATTTAAGTTTGATGCATTGTTATGACGAGTTAATATCCAGCATATAGCATGTGAACCTATTTGCTTGCTTGCACCGATCAACTGCTACCGCCGGTCACCATGAATGCTAACCGTTCTGTTTCGATATTGACACCATGCTGCCCTGACGTCCTGTGTTTGGTTCCGGGTATGCTCTGAGCCACATTTTGTTCGACACCCACATTAATACACGTAGCCAGCTATCCTTCTTTTGACAGGGCTGGCTGAATGGCACGCGCTCCGTTGTCACCGGTCGCTGCGGTTTGGTTGTTTGTTGGCGCGGAGGGCAGAGCGGGCTGTGGGTCTGCCGCCTGGCTTGGCCTGGCCTGCTGGCTCCCGCACGCCGTCCGTCCGCCTGAGTGTGTGCGGCCCACCGGTGGTGTCCGGCAGCGCCGCCGGACGGGGCGCACCAGCCGCGGCCGGCACGGCGCTCTGCCGGCTGCCGGGCCGCGCTCCGGCCGCTGACGGCGCCTCTCCCCCAGGCGAGGATGACAGGGCAGCTGGGTCGGCTGCAGCGCGAGGTGGAGTCGGCGCAGCAGGCGGCGCCGCCGGCGCAGCCGCCGCCGGCGCAGCAGCCGCAGTCTCAGCTCCCCCAGCAGGCGTTCCTGGTGACGGGCGAGCCGTGAGTACGGCCGGCCGCGCGCGCCGCCGCCGCCGCCGCCCTCTCGCCTTCTGCACCGCATGCCGCCGCCCGCGCTGTGTGTCCGCGTGCGCCCCACTGACGGCACGGGGTGCGGCCGCGCAGGGCGGACTCCTGCAGGAGATGTCCAAGCTGCACCTGGACATGGAGGCGATGAAGCAGCAGATGCTCACCCAGGAGATCGCCTACAACATCCAGCAGACGGAAGCGCTGACCAGGTGCGCCGGCGCCGCGCGGGCGGGTCACGCGCGCTCGCCGCCGGGGCCCCGACGCGGCGCACCGACCAGGAGAAGCCGGAGGGACGCCAGGGCAGAGCAGGGCTGCCTGGCTGAGATCACTTGCGACGTGTTCGTGGGATGCCGAGGGCTATAATTATATTTGCGCACACGGCCGGTGCACGCGGGAACGTTTCGGTGGGCGGGATGTTCGGGGTCTAGCTTTTCCTTCTGAATACTCTGGCTAGTCGCAGCGATCTTCTAGACAGCTTCACAGAGTAGTGGCCGAGTGGTCAGGTAGCGGTGTGGCGCGCGCCGCGCCGTTGAGGTATGTATGGCGGCCCGTGCGTCCTATAACTGTCCTGTTCCGCCGGCCGGACGGCCGACCTCTGGCGGTCGGCGCCGTCGGCTGCCCCAGGTGAGTGGTCTTAGAGCCGGCCTGCCGCGGTCTGCAGCCGGCCGGTCGGGGGCCGCCGCTGGCGCGTCCGTTCTCACGGGGCTGAGACGCTCGCCGACCGGCCGGCCGCCGCCCGCGGCTCCGGCTGTGCCGCCCCCCCCCCCCCCCCCGTCCCGACACCTCTGCACCTCTGCACCACTGCACCGCTGCACCAGCTGGCGCCGGCGGCCCGGACTCTCCGTCACTCCCCCAACACCACTGCACTAGCTAGCGCCCGCGTCCGGGCCCGTAGATGTGCCGGTCGGCCGGTACCGTCGTGCCAGCACGCTCACTCACGCTTGGTAGCTCGTCTCTCACGCCGCCCGCGGGCCTCCGCCCCTGCACCGTATCATCCATCTCTGCTCACGGCTTGTCTGTCGCGTGTAACTGAGCGTCAATGAGGCTCGCCTCCGCGTGTTTGAATCGTGTTGAGTACGGCCTCGGCCCTGCCGCCGGTCTCGTGTCACCACGCGGCCGTGGCGTCCTCGTGGCGTGGGTGCCGCGGCTCCATGCCGTCCCGGTGCCCGCCTCACCGCGCGCCCGTCGCCGCAGGAATCTGTCGCCGAGCGGCGGCGGCGCGGCCGGCGAGCCGGCCGGCTTTGTGCGCTCGTCGAGCCGCGGCAGCTTCGACGCGCGCTCGCTGCCGCGCCGGCCGGGCTCGCGGCTGGCGGCCGCGGCGGCCGGCGCCGCCGACAAGCTCGACGGCGAGTGGGAGGGCGCTGCCGCCGCCGCCGCCGCCGGCTACGACGAGGACGAGGTGGAGGACGCCGAGAGCATCTTCTCGACGCTGTCGCCCACCGGCCACACAGATGCGCAGACGCTGGCCATCATGCTGCAGGACCAGCTGGACGCCATCAACAACGAGATCAGGTGCGCCTCTGCCTGCTGACTGGTGGGAGTGGGAGGGCGGTACTGCTCTCGGGCGGTCACAAGTCGCAAGTTAGTGTTTTCAGCAACCATTCCAACGTGTGGGTTAGTGTTAACCCCGGTCACAGAACATGGCTCAGAGGCAAAATAAAACTACGCGCCGGGATTTTCAGTGGCAAAGCAGGTCAACGACGCAAGCCAGATTCAACGTGAGGCTTGGTTTTCCTCGTCCATGGCTTACGTACTTCGCACCTTAGAACGCGCCGACTCAGTCAGCGGCGTGCTGCGTCTGCATCTGTTGTGGCACCGGGCGCTGGGTCGCCGGCTGTGACTGTGCGGCCAGGCGGTCCGGCGGTCCGGCGGTCCTGCGGTCCTGCATTCCTGCATTCCTGCAGTCCTGCAGTCGGCCTAACGCCGCCCCCGCGCCGCGTCCCCAGGATGATCCAGGAGGAGAAGCAGAACACGGAGCTGCGTGCCGAGGAGCTGGAGTCGCGCGTCGGCAGCGTGGATCACTTGAACCTGCTGTCGCGCTCGGGCCGCCTCTCGCCGCCGCTTTCGGGCCGGTCCACGCCCAAGTCGGCGCTGTCGCCGCAGCGCGCCGAGGCGCTCATGAAGTACCACACGGTGAGCAGCGGCGCGGCGGACCGCCGGCCGCCGCCGGCCCCGTCTCCGTCCCCGGTCCGCGCGCGCGCCGGGGCCGGAGGCGGCGCAGAACGGAGTGGCGGCAGCAGTCTGCTTGCTGCCAAGTTGTTCTCGCTTCTCTAGCCGGCTGAAGTGCTCGTTTGGTTCGGGTTGGTGGGTGCACTGGACGGGGAGAGCGCGGGGAGTTGGTGGCTTGACGGCTGTTCCAAGTTTTATAACCCGTCAACAGGGGCATGCTTAAAACCCTTCAGTCACCTGGGCTGAAGGGAATCGATGAAGTCTGTTGGAATCGATAATGGGTACTAGCTGCCATGTTCCATCTATCTGTATGCATGTGGGCTTGGGGAAAAGGACCTGAAATGTGCACTGAGCCGTCCCTTTCCGTTGCGAAAAGTCCGGATCCACCACACGGTCTTCTGCTTGCTTTCACTGTCGGGACTTGTTAGGGCTTGTAGGATAGGCTCCAGAGCACTTAGGCTCTGGTATAGACGGCGTTAGTAGCTTAGTGCCTTACGGTCGATCAGACCAGCTTCGCTATGTCTGTGTTTCACACCGCACCACGTGTATGGATAGCCGTAGACTAACGCTGTTGTGTGTGCGTGTGTGCGTGTCTGTGCGTGTGTGCGCGCGTGCGTGGGTGACCTGCCAGGCCCCTGCCGGGATGTCCCCCGCCATGCTGTACGGGCCGCACGGGCTGGAAGGACAGCGGTCGACTCCGGTGAGTGCCCCCTCCCCCTCCCTTCCCCTGCACGCCTGGCATGCCGGCGGGCGGCCCGGCCTCACGCCGCCGCCATGTTGTAGCGCCGTGTAGACTGCGGTGCTCGCTGACAGTCGCCGCTGGGGTCTGGGGGAGCTCGGGGCACGCTGGGCGCGCTGGGTGCCCGGTGGTGGATGGAGCCTCGCAGCGGAGCCCATCGTGACAGCGTACCTTAAGTGCGGTCGTGCGAGCTCGCACGTGCCACGACAGGGGTGCCGCTTCGCTGAGTCGAGGCTGCTTGCAACGGTGCCAATCAATTCGTCGATGTTCCCACTTTGTACGTTTAGTGAAGTGATTCGTGTCTGTGTTTGTGTTTATGTGTAAGTGTCGTCGTGCTGGCATGCGACCGGGAGTGCGCTGTGCACAGCCCTCAGTCGTGTAGGTCAAGTCCCAGCGGGCGGGACACGTGTGGTACGCCCACCCATGCAGCAACGCCCGCCTGTGTGGTCACGCCGTCGCGGCGTCTGACCGGGCGCGCGCGCCGCTTCTGCCGCAGAAGACGGTGGCCGACGGCAGTCCGCCAGCCATGCGCTGTCAACGCTTCCAGGCGTACAACCCGGACGACAACCTGAGGTGAGAGCGGTGTGTCGCGGCCAGTCTGCGTGCCTGGTGTGTCCGGCCTGCGCCGGCCCCGTCTGCCGCTCATCCCGGCGTGCGGAGGCCGGGGGCCGCTGCTCTCCGCTGTCTGGCGTGCCCCGGCCGATTAACAGTGTCCCTGCGTCTCCGCCGGCGTCCGGGCTGTAATGAATAACCCTCTTAGCCGTAACTGAGTTAGCCGGCGCCGGCTCCTGTACAGCTCTCTGGTCGCAGTGTCCCATTAATTCGACTAACTGGCGGCGGCGTTGCGCTCGCGCGGCGGCCGCTCGCCGCACGTGCGGCGCGCGGTGGCGCACGCCAGTGTGCGGTCGCCGCAGCACTAACCGTCCGGCCCGGCCCGGCCCGCCCGCTGCCGACCGTCTGCCTGTAGCCGCTCGCTGCCGCACAACGCCACTATGCGGGACCCCTCGACGATCCCGGGCCGCGGCCTGAGCGCCCTCCACCCGGAGCACGCGCAGTTCATCAGGTGCAGTACCGCCGCGCGCCGCCGGCCCGGCCCGGTCTCCTCGGCCGCTGCGGCAGCCGGCCGTGGACACGGTGGGGTCTCGGGTGTGGCATGCTGGGCGCGGGCGACGCTACGGTGCGGGTGGTTTGAGCATTGACAACATTGATCCCCGATGTATTTGGTGGCGCCTCATCGGATGACCAGTGTGGACAATAGGACAACAGCCTGGCCTGGCCTCCGCAAACGTAATGCAGTATTTTGGTTCGGCTTGAGCATTAACATTGCTGTGATACTGGTAAGCACCGTCGTGCGTGCGTCGCGAAAGCTATGCTGATGAGTCCGGAGGTAGACGGTAGTCCGGAGTCCGGGGGAAGGAGACGGTAACTTCAGGCTGTACTCGTATAAGCAAAAAACAGACCCTAGGAAGAGAAGCTTGGGATCATTGTGTCAGTCCCGGGCCGCCCTGTTACTGGTCTGTGCACAAGACGGTCCTGAGCGCTGTTATCGGGCGGTGGCCGCTAGCGGGCCGTTAGCTCTCGCACGAGCCCAGCGTCCTGTCGCGGCCTGGATTGGCGCTCGGAATGGCGCCGCGTCGCACATTTGCTGATCAGACACCAGCTGCCTGCGACAGACCGCTTCGTTGCGGCTTTCACCATAGGAACGCTGTCCGTCGGCGGCCGCCACGGCCGGTCCGCCTGGATCTGGGGCTGCGAGTGTCCCCGTGACCAGCGGCACCGTCAGGCGGACAGTCCCGGGACACAGGGATAGACTGTGTCCCGCCTATCTGGTGGACGTGGCAGACCAGCCGCTGGTGTGCTGTTCGGACGCGTGTGGTCCATCGGACGGGCTCAGCTCCGCGCCTCTGACCGGCGTGTCAGCACTGCCGGACGGGCTCAGCTCCGCGCCTCTGACCGGCGTGTCAGCACCGCTGGACGGGCTCAGCTCCGCTCCCCTGACCGGCGTGTCAGCACTGCCGGACGGGCTCAGCTCCGCGCCTCTGACCGGCGTGTCAGCACCGCTGGACGGGCTCAGCTCCGCTCCCCTGACCGGCGTGTCAGCACTGCCGGACGGGCTCAGCTCCGCGCCTCTGACCAACGTGTCAGCACTGCCGGACGGGCTCAGCTCCGCTCCTCTGACCGGCGTGCCAGCTCCGCGCCTCTGACCGGCGTGTCAGCACCGCTGGACGGGCTCAGCTCCGCGCCTCTGACCGACGTGTCAGCACCGCTGGACGGGGTCAGCTCCGCTCCTCTGACCGGCGTATCAGCACCGCTGGACGGGCTCCGCTCCGCGCCTCTGACCGACGTGTCAGCACTGCTGCTCCGTGCAGCGTCCCGGCGGCCGTCTGAACCCTTCTTCGAAGCGCCCGGCCCCGGCCCGGCTGCAGCCGGTCTGCAGCGAAGCCTCATGTGCCCGGTCATCCCAGGACTCCGCGAGCTGGGCGTCGGTCCGGTCGGCCGCGCCAGGACGCGGCGCCGCCAGAAATGGATTCGGCCGTCTCCGAGCTGGGGCGTGGCTGACGTTTGTGACAATCGGCGGACTTTTTAACTGATTGCGTTGCGGCGTACTGGCTATCAGACGCGCCGAATTTGTCGTGCATGTTGACTCCAGGACAAGACGAGCGCAATGTGGCCAACCTCGGTCCAGCGGTCCGGGACAGTTCGGATGATCTCCGATCGGTTGAGATCGGCAGCGGACAGCCTCTGCCAGGCGAGCAGCTCCCGTCCCGGACTCCAGCCCAGTCGCCGGGCCGTTCTGGTGTCCCGGAAGCGTTCGCGCCGCCCCGTCTGGGCGGCGCGCGAGCCGGCGGTGGCCAGACGGCCGTCCGGGGGCTATCGACCGCCTGCAGGGGGCGCCGGCGCCGCGGCCAGGTCCCGTGTCAGGCGGCGCGCGGACGGCGGACGGCCGGATCGACCGCCCCTCGCCCGGCCCGGCCCGGCCCAGCCCGGCCTGGACAGTCGGGCCCCGCCGCGCCACTGTCATGGAGGCGGGGGGCTGGTCCGCCCGCCGTCGCACGCGATCCGTCGAGGTGTCCAGTCCGGACCGGTATCCCCGCAGGTAAGTGAGGTCTCTGCGAGCCCCCGGCAGGAGGGGACCCTTTGGAGGTGGCCATCCCGGACCGGTACCCCGCAGGTGGATGAGGTCACTTCAAGTCGTCGTCAGGCAGGGACCCTCTGGAGGTGCCCAGTACCGGCCAGAGCCCCCGCAAGTGGGTGAGGTCCCGCCTAGTCCTTGGCAGGCAGGGACCCTCTAGGGGTGCCCAGCACCGGCCAGAGCCTCCGGAGGTGGTTGAGGTCCCTTAGAGTCCTTGGCAGGCAGGGACCCTCCGGAGGTGTCCAGTACCGGTCAGAGCCCCCGGGGGTGGTTGAGGTTCCTCCCAAGTCTTCAGGGAGGGCAGGTGCCCTCTGGGGTGTTCAGTACCGGTCAGGACCCCACCCGGGTGGGTGTGTGTCGTTGCCAGCCCACGGCCGGCGTTGTGTCTCCCTCTGGAGGTGTCTAGGCCGGGCCAGTACCTATGCGAGGGTGGGTGTTCCCTGCGTCTCTGGCGTCGGGTACCCTCTGTGAAGTTGTGCGGCCCTGAACGACACTGATGAGATGGGTGACTGTCCGACGGCCACTCCGTCAAGAACAGATGCCCATTCCCACGCGCCGCTCTGGACGTCGGCTGTGGTGAGTGGGTGGCCCGAAATGGCACATGGTCGATAGACGCTGAACTGAACGACCGCCGGGGCTGGCTCGCCTCAAACACCCGTGGCTGATTACCGGGTGACGTTTGCCGTCCCTGGGCCTCAGCAGCACCCCGTGCCCCGGAGTGGTGGTGTGGCGGGGGATGTTATGTGCAGCCCGGGCTCGGAGTGTCAAGCCAGAGCCACGACTGCTCGGCTAGCCAGCGGTCACGGAGCCTCCCGGCCTACCACTGGGGACTAGCGCCCCGCATGTGTGCTGTCTTGAAGGGTTTGCTGGGCGGAAAGGTCAGAGAGCCGACTCCAAACTTTCTGAGCGGCGCCTTTCCCCCGAACAGGGCAGACGAGTGTTCCTTTCCGAGGGGGTCCATACAGAACGGTCGGCGGGGTTGACGTCGTTTCTGGTGGTGCGGTCGCTCTTGCTGGCTCGGGGGTCCAGTCTCCCTGGCGGCGGCGGCTTGTCTATCCGGGTGTCCAGAGTGTGCGGATCCCTGCCACTCGCCACCCGGCCCCTCTCGGACGCCGACCTTGCTGTACAGCCGCGGGGGCGTGCCATCGCTATGGCTTTGGGTGTCTGGTCGACCGGTGACGGGCGGATGCGACCCGCCCACCTGTTGTGCCTACTCCGCCGTCGAAACGCGTCGGCTCCGGCTTTGGCTCTGGGCTACTGCTTTGCTTGCGAAAGGGCAGGCACTAACACCACTCGATTGTCATCAATGGCGCGCTTTCAGTGCCTTTGCTGGCTTGCGACCGTAGCGCTCATCGCACGCTGGACTTCGGGGTTTTTGTGTAAATGCTCGGGCCGTTTTATGACTCGCGCTGTCGAGAACGAGGACGATGCCTTTGTCAGGATGGTTGGCAGGCAGATGTTGTCAATAACCAAATCGTCATACACCAGTCCACCCCTTAGATGTTTTTCTTTGCACGTATGGGAGGAGCTGCTGCGCGTAATAGGTGATCCAGCCAGTGGTTCGCACGTGCACTGCCTGTGGATCTGGGTTTTTGAATAGAAGTATCACAAATAGCTATATTTGTAATTTTGGAGCTGGTGAAATGCATGCTTACAGTAATTCAACTACCACACTTTTAGTTTGACCCATGTTTATATGTTCCCATGACTTCTTATCAGTGTATTGCCATATACCGTGTGCCGACAAAGAGGCCGTGCGCAGCGTTGGCAGTTTGTCGGCCGCTGCTGCCGCACCTCTGGTGTACCCCGCCGCTTGCGCGTGCACAGTGTCGGCGGTTTGTCGGCCGCTGCTTCCGCACCTCTGGCGTGCCCCCGCCGCATGCGCGTGCACAGTGTCGGCCGTTTGTCGACCGCCGCTGCCGCACCTCTGGCGTACCCCCGCCGCCTGCGCGTGCGCCGCAGCTGACCGGCGCGTGCCCGCAGGCAATCATTCGGCGACAGCTCGCACTCGACGCCGTCGTCTGTGTCGTCGACCAACAGCAGCCAGGACTCGCTGCACAAGCACGCGGCCGTCAAGAAGCGCGGCTTCAAGTCTTCGCTCGGCCGCTTCTTCAGCAAAAAGGAGAAGGTGAGGCGGCGGTGCGGCGGCCGCCGGCCGGACAGCGGGGCCGTCGCGGGCGGCTGCGCCGTCCAGCGGCTGCTGTGCGGCGGACCTCGACGCCCGCGGAAGGCGAGGTCCGACCAGCTGGACCCGGGGTCGGTGTATGCCAGTGTCGTAACACTCGTGGCGGTGGGCGGAGAGGTTGACGAGCCTGCGGGTGTGTGATCTGACCTGTGACGATGATCGGGGCCTGTGGCCGTGGGTGTCATGATATTGGCCCCATACCCCATGACCTGTGACGTTGACCCTGTCTAGCAACGGCTGAAAGGCAGCCGGTGTTGCGGTAAGCGTCCGCCTTGTGGCATCGGTCCCGGTGGCCGAGTCTCGGTGGCTGAAAGCCAGCCCTGTACCGCGCTGGCTGGCTGTGTCACTGTCGTTGTCCGGGCTGACCGCTGGCCCGTGCTGCAGCGGGCGTTTGACCTGCACCAGAGTCAGGCGGCGGCGGCGGCGGCCGCTGCCATGGGCCGGCCAGTGGACCTCTACTCGCCCGACACCACCGACGGCGGTCTCGACTCGCCCGGCGTCACCGTCTCCACGCCCAAAGCCGACTTCGACAGACGCACCAAGAAAAAGTCAGTCTTCGCCGCGCTTGGCCGCCGCCCACGAGACGGCAGGGCGGCAGGCCGAGCTATGTCAGGGGAGCGGAGGGTGGCGGCCTGGTGGACGGTCGCGGGCCGCTGTGGAGACGGGGAGAATGGCGGTCCTGAGGCTTGTAACTCCCGGCGGGAATATTGCGCAGCGCGTCCCACACTGTCCTGTGCTGTCTTTTCGGCTAAGTCCCAAGTGAATAGTTGGGTTTCTGTCCTCTGTTCGAACTTCAGTGTATCCAGGGAAACCACTGTTTTCAGACCGCCATTGTAATGTGACATCTCCTGTTTCCGAGAGGCCCGGCTGTCGCTGTCAGCCGCGCGCCAATCGCGAAACGGAGCTTTCCTCCCGATCTGAGGTTTCCTGTCTTCAATAATTGGTTGCCCAAAGCAGTCCAGCGTCCATTTGGCAGCGCTGGACATGTGCGCTACGTGTCGCCAGTGTATACTAAAGGATTCAGATATGTTACGAAGATGCTGGGCAGCTATTGGAAGCTTGAGTAATTCTTCAATTCGCATTACTATTTAGATGCATTTGCGTGGGTCGCCAACGAAGCAGTGCCAAATCCCTGTTGTTGCTACCATGATGAGGTGGGAGCAGTAATGTTTTCGGTAACTTTCCTAGTTTTTTTTTAACCGGAATCGTTTCTCGGAGTTTTTCTCGTGAAAGCTGCCATTCTGCAAAAAAGTTACCAGAAATAAGCTCCGTGACGTACCTCCCTGGTATATGGTAATGTCACGCACCATCGACAGTCAAGGACGGGTGTTTTCTTGCGTTAGTAGCCGCACCACTGCCAGACTATAGTGACGTCATTAGAGCCGCGGTCAGGACAGCGCTCGGCGCGGGGCGCACGCTCGGTCACTGGTCACGTGTCTTAACAGCGCGAGGCGTTACCGCCGCCTCGCGATGACACGACAAGGCAGGGCCGGCAGGCGCTGACACGACAAGGCAGGGCAGGCAGGCGCTGACGCGACAAGGCAGGGGCCGGCAGGCGCTGACACGACAAGGCAGGGCCGGCAGGCGCTGACACGACAAGGCAGGGCAGGCAGGCGCTGACACGACAAGGCAGGGCAGGCAGGCGCTGACGCGACAAGGCAGGGCCGGCAGGCGCTGACACGACAAGGCAGGGCCGGCAGGCGCTGACACGACAAGGCAGGGCAGGCAGGCGCTGACACGACAAGGCAGGGCAGGCAGGCGCTGACACGACAAGGCAGGGCAGGCAGGCGCTGACACGACAAGGCAGGGCCGGCAGGCGCTGACACGACAAGGCAGGGCAGGCAGGCGCTGACACGACAAGGCAGGGCAGGCAGGCGCTGACACAAGGCAGGGCAGGCAGGCGCTGACACGACAAGGCAGGGCAGGCAGGCGCTGACACGACAAGGCAGGGCGGGCAGGCGCTGACACGACAAGGCAGGGCAGGCAGGCGCTGACGCGACAAGGCAGGGCGGGCAGGCGCTGACACGACAAGGCAGGGCAGGCAGGCGCTGACACGACAAGGCAGGGCAGGCAGGCGCTGACGCGACAAGGCAGCGTCTGACTTGCCGGCCTGCTGTGCCATCTGGGGCCTGGGCAGAGGTCATAGCCGCCGAACAGACGAACTGCTCCTAAGGGGCGGGGCTTGGGGCCGGGGGAGCGCCATTACAGAGGGCCATGTGCGGGACCAGACCCCGTTGAGCCGCACAAGAGCGGGTTTAACCGGCTGACCCTGTGCGACCACTTAGTGCGCGAGCTGTAATGGCCAATCCATGATCGTCAAACACTTCGGCGAGGTTCAAATGGAATCATGAACCTTGACTTAGACTTCGCCGTACTGGTACCGGCGCTGCTCAAGCCTACCGTGGCCCCGCTAATCCCCGGTCAGTCAGCACCTTCATCTTTTCACTTGGCTGGATTTCCCGGTCTGGGTGCACTCGCTCTTAGCGCACTGCATAGGTTCGCAACGCTGCCATGTGGCTGTCCGCCCGGATCGTTTGACAGCCGGCTGGACAGGCAGCGAGTGCGCGTTGCGCCGCCTCCGGTGCCGCGCGGGGCCGCCGCTGACGTCGCTCCCCACCGCACCACTGACGTCCTCCCGCCGCTCCGCTGACGTCACTCCCGCCGCGCCGCTGACGTCACTCCCTCAGCGCCGCTGACGTCGCTCCCCACCGCACCACTGACGTCACTTCCGCCGCACCACTGACGTCACTCCCGCCGCACCACTGACGTCACTCCCCCCGCGCCACTGACGTCACTCCCGCCGCTCCGCTGACGTCACTCCCGTCGCACCACTGACGTCACTCCTGCCGCTCCACTGACGTCACTCCTGCCGCGCCGCTGACGTCGCTCCCCGCCACTCCGCAGGCACGAGCTGCTGGCCGAGGCGATGAAGGCCGGCACGCCGTTCGCGCTGTGGAACGGCCCGACGGTGGTGGCCTGGCTGGAGCTGTGGGTCGGCATGCCGGCCTGGTACGTGGCCGCCTGCCGCGCCAACGTCAAGTCGGGCGCCATCATGTCGGCGCTGAGCGACACCGAGATCCAGCGCGAGATCGGCATCAGCAACCCGCTGCACCGGCTCAAGCTGCGGCTGGCCATCCGCGAGATGGTCAACCTCACCTCGCCGTCGGCGCCCAACAGCTCGCGGCTCATGCACAACTTCGCCGAGATGAACCACGAGTGGATCGGCAACGAGTGGTTGCCGTCGCTCGGCCTGCCGCAGTACCGGTGAGCGGCGCGCGGCCGGCCGGCCGGCCGGGCCTCTCCGCGTGCAGGACGCTGGCCGATTGCGGATAAGTCTCAGTACGAACTTCTTGGTGGGATGGGTCTTTGGTACCAGCGCCACGCTAAGCAGCGCTCGTTGCGCAGGGCCTGGCTCCTCCATTCAATCGTGGAAGAATTTCATGACCAAAGCTTAACGTACCACACAGCTCGGCAAGGCCTGTTCTGCCTGTTTACGTCAGCTGACCCTTAGCACGGCCGCCGCCACCGGTCCCAGGCTATGCCAGTCAGGGGGAGATAGCGGGCGCCTAAAGCGACCTCAGCCCATGCGGCTACGGGCAAGTGAATATGAAGGCAGGTCCTCGGACCAGTGAACTACCGCGGCCAACTGGCGGCTACGGTTGGGCCCGCCTGGCCCGTCTCTCGCCGACAGCGGCAGCCTTCGGTGCGGAAGGGCGGACTGTGTGGGACAGTAACAGATGATGCAATGGTACGGGGTTTATGGGCGGAAGCAGAACCATACATCTCTGAACTCGCATGGGAGCCGCCAAGCCATTCCAGATTTATAGGATACACGCGTGTTTTGTGGATGAATCAGATGACCCGCTGCTGGTCAGAGCGGCCACGTTTGTCAGGCTGGTGGTCCTGAGGGACTGTCGGCTGGCTGGTTTGGAGGCGGCTCGCTGTTGGGTCTCCAATGGAGAGGGAGAGTGCCGACGGCGCGGCGGCGGGCCAGAGCCGGTTAGTCGGCGTGCGTGCCGGCCTCCGTGGGCGTCCGTCCAACCCCACCCCCGCCGCCGCCGCCGCTGCCGCTGACGGCTGCCCCTCCCGCCGCCGCAGCACCTCGTTCATGGAGTGTCTAGTGGACGCGCGCATGCTGGAGCACCTGCTGCACCTGAACAAGAAGGACCTGCGCGGCTACCTGAAGCTGGTCGACGCCTCGCACAGGTGGGAGGCCCGCTGGCGGCCGGGTGCGGTCAATACCTCGATGGGAAGCGGGCGCCCACTCTGCCCCGCCAGCTGTCGAGATGTTGATGTCGGCGGCTGATACCTGTGATACATGTATCGGTGGCTGATATATGTGATGCATGTATCGGCGGCTGATGTATGTTCGGCTCTGTTCCGGTGCGGGAGACGTTCGTTGACAATGTATAACGTTGTGGCACTTTGCTAAGGCTGCTACGGTGGTTTTTCTTGACGCCTCGTTAATCATTGCAGACTCGTGGGACTGCAGTAATGAGGTATCGTTAGCGGTATCAAATTATGAACCGTGGTGCATTTGTCTTCACTTCCACCTCTGAAGAACATCTTAATGTGATTTTGTGCTGGACGCCACCTGCCCGCGCCACTGGCTGGGCCGAGCAGCAGCGCTGAGTGCACGGCTCGTCGCCGGTACTCGAGCCGCTGCTGACCGAGCGTCCATCTTCTGTCGCCAGGAACAGCCTGCACTTCGGCATCCAGTGCCTGAAGCGGGTCGACTATGACCGCAACGAGTTGGAGCGGCGGCGACGCGCGTGCGAGACGGAGCTGGCCGATGTCTTCGTCTGGACGAACGAGCGCGTCATCCAGTGGGTGACCAGCATTGGCCTCAAGGAGTACACCTCCCAGCTGACCGAGTCGGGCGTACACGGCGCGCTCATCGCGCTCGACGACAATTTCGATTACAACTCGCTCGCTCTGGCGCTGCAGCTGCCTACAGCCAACCAGCAGGTACGGGCGACTGGAGTTTTGAGCCGCCGTGTCCCGCCGTCCCGTGTGGTCTAGTGGCTAGGATATCTGGCTTTCACCCAGAAGGCCCGGGTTCGATTCCCGGCACGGGAGTGATTTTCCACCGGTAGTTTTCGGACTTCGATTCTTCATTACTTATTGCTGTAGTACTTGTTACAATATTCTTTATTGCTACAACATTCTGTGCGTATTGTAGGATTCAAAGGGGGCAACTCTTTAGCCCACCACTGAACTATGTCAAGTCCAAAAAGTGTACACGCATGCTAGTTCACTGGTCAGACATGATGGGTTGGTTGAGCCACACATTTGTTCCTCATAACTGAGGCTCATTTGTCTTTGCCAAATTTGTTAGACACTTTGGGTCAGGAAGGTGTTAAGATTGGAAAACATCTGCAAAATCACAGCACACCTGTGCATGGTGAAATCTTGCCTGTTCATGGTTGAGTTGTTCTGGCAGAGATACTCAAGTCCAGATAACCCATGACAAACAGTACACACACATTTTACATGACAGTAAGTGAGCTTCAGCAGGCTGAAACATTTTATGCAGACACCTCAAAGAAAACCTGATAGGAAAATATTTAAGTTGTCACAGCTGAGCAAAGCTTATTGAGTTGACTGTTAGAGTACTTGATATGAGAGTAGGAACACAAGTGTTGTGCTTGGTTTTTGTTTGAGTGCCCCACTGCCACGCTGATGTCGGTGTTTCAGGCGCACCAGGTGCTGCGGCAGGAGTTCAATCGCCTGCTGGTGTCGGGCACCCATCGGCAGGTGGACGAGTCCAAGTCGTGAACAGACCGCCCCCTAGCGGACGAGTCCACGCTGGGCGCCGGCCGCTAGTGACGGTCGGCCCCACTGGGGGGCGGGCGGTCCGAGGCGCAGTTACCAGGGGCCGGCGCCGCGGCCGCGGCCCGACTGGGCGGACGGCGGTGCGCCGCGTGTGGAAGGCGTTGCGCGGCGCGGCGTGGCGTGGGGTGGCGTGGCGCGGCGTGGCGCGAGAGGGCCGCCAGGCTGTGGTGGCCGGCCGCGGCCTCGGTGTACTGTTGTCATTGGTCTGGTGCTGTCCGCTGTTGTGGCGTCTCTCACTCCCTCTCTCTATCCCTCTCGCTCGCTCGCTCTCTCTTCCCCCGTCTCTCTGCTCTCGGACTTATCTTCGTGTACATAGCGGGCGGCCGGCATTCTCGTTCTCTCCGCGCCGCGGCGTCACCTTCGCGGGCCGGCAGCCGGTCGGCCCCGGTCTTCCCGGTGGCGGCCGCGCGCCGCCGCCCCGCCGCGCCCGGTCATATCATTTGTAAATTGCTCGGTCATTTGACTGCAGCGGGAGCGGGATGATTGCGGCCGCCGCCGCGGGCCCGTGCAATGGCTCCGCAGGGGCGCGCGCTGCGTCCGCTGGAACTCCTTGCGTCCGCGCAACGAGAGGCTCGCCGTCATCGTCATTTCGTCGCCACTGCACGAGCGCACCGCTTCTAGTGTAGCGCGTTCTTTTGATTGCATTGTACATAGTCGGCCTGTGTTGCGTCGTTCGCATTCGTTAGCTTAGTCCAGTACAAACGGTGACTATTTTGTACAGGCGGCCGGGACGCGCCTGGTCGCGCGCCAGTTTGAGTTGCGGCCGCGCCGCCGCTGGTCGGTCGCCGCCACTAGTCAGGTCCGCACGGCGTCTAGTCAGGCCGGCGCCCGCCTCCGGCCCCCTCCCTCTCTGTCTGTGCCACACGTGTCGCGCGCGCGCGCTTTATTTTTGTATGGCTGCCGGCCGGCGGGCCGAATCTCGCGCGCGCTGCCGGCCGGGACGCGGCCAGGGCTCGGCCGGCCCTCACTCAGTTTGCTCGGCTCAGTGGCGCCCGGAGCATTGGCTTCAGTTGCGTCTGCATTACCTCGGTTTGACAGTATTATGCTCGGATGAGGCGTTGCGGCCCGCCTGGACGCGGGGCGGGCGGAGCGGCGCGGGCGCCGGCGGCCGCAGCCGCGCCGTCGCCCGCGGTTGGGAGGTCAGGTCGGGACCGGGCCGGCTCAGGCCTGACCCGGGGTCGGCCGGCCGGGCGGCCCCGGACGTCAGCCCAGCCCGGAGACGGCCGGGCCCGGGCGGGACAGCCCTCCAACTGCCCTGTAGCCGCAGCTCTGCTCCCCCAGCCGGTAGCGTCGCTGTTCCGTGGTGTGCGTGCGCGAGGGTGTGCCATGGGCGTGAGCCTGCGCTCCTGCCTCTGTACGCGTCCCATCGCTCTCCTTATCGCCCTCCGCCGGCGGGTCACATATATATTGTATGTTTCTCTACACTCGGTACGTTTTATTGGAACATGAATAATATATTGTTGCCCACAGCCTTCTTTGTGCTCATTATCGGCTGCACGACGCGAAAGCACTTACCAGCGCGCGCCGAATGATTTGTTTCGTGGCGATGCAGGCGGTGAGGTGTGCGTCGTCCCACGTCGTTGACAAATATACTTGCTGTATAACGCTTGTGATCTGTTAGCACCATGCGGATGCCCGTCACGTTTGTGAAGTGTTGGCTACAACTGTCTTTATTTAAGGTGCGTTGCTTAGACTGCGGAAGAATGGGAACGGGGCAGCTGCCGTATGCCTGAATAAAAGAAGCACAGGATGTGGTTCCATTTTCGATTGGGGAGGGTTTCAGCGCCCCCCCCCCCCCCCAACTTGGCTTCAAATCCCGAACTCCACTCTGAGAGCAAATGGGTCAAATCGAGGGAGGGACCCCTTTGTGTGCTATGTTGGGGGTGGGGGAGGGAGTCGTTGTCCACTGGTTTCCCTCAACTCATTTCGCGAAACGACGTGGCATCGCAACTGCACAGTAGCCTCAATCGTGTTGTTTTCAGTCACTGGGTAGGCGGGCTTGCATGCCGGACGTTGTAGGTGCGTGAGGCTGGCTGTTGTGCTCTTAATGGTGTACGTCGGATCTCGCAATGATGAAAAGACGACTGAAAGCCAGGTTTGGCACGCCTCGGGCACGTGAAATTTCCTAGGTGTCGTAAAACAACGTTACATCTTCTCGACGTTGTTGCTCGTCTGTGTATGTGTACCCGGAAAGGTTAACTGTCAGCATTTAAGCGTATGCATAGGCAAAATGCCAACAGTTCGGTAGAGAGAGGGCGCGCGTACCCAAGGGCATACTGTTCGCGGGGTGCCGCCATGGTCCTTTGGCATTTCGTGTAAATTAGCATGGCATCAGCCACAGGCATTTTCAGTCAGCTGATATTTTGCCAGCGACTCGCCGTTTACGCCGCATTTCCCTAAATTTTCACGGTCGGGCAGGCGCTGTTTGCGGAGCTTATACATAAGTGAGTACGCAAGAAAGTAAATACGGTGCAACGGGAAACAAGACCTCAGGTGATTCTGCTGCTCTATGGCCTCGGTAATAACGTACAGATACCAAGAAGCCCGCGGAGTCTAGGTGTTTTCTGCTGGGTGTGGGTGGAGTTTGTTATCCCGTCGGCTGTCTGGGTGGCTTGCTGGGTTACTGCTTTCTGCAAACACTCATTGTCATCCCAGTGCATGCTGAGCTTCTCATCTTGGCTGACATTGGTCTATTTCTGGGTAAGGGCTTTTTCCTGTGGATTTTTTTTGACAAAATTTGTGTACAGTTCTTGAGTGGTTGTCATCAGGATTGCATTATGTTGATAAAAAGCACAGCTTTGGCTATTGGTATCTTATATGATAAAGCTTCTTCCATGGCAGGTTTCTCACTGATCTCTTGCTCTAGACTCAAACACATTGACCTGTCAAAAGTGGATGAGATGGAAGTTACCATTGCTCTTGCAGTCCATTTTCCTCACTGTTTTAAAGAGCATTTGGTAAATCTTGCTAAAGGTAGTGTGCTCAAGTAAAAGCAGCTTGCTGCACCTCTTTGTCTCATTTTCCCTCTTCCCTTTTCACTCTCAGTTAGGTGATTTAGTTGGTAAAAGCATTTGAGTGATATATTTACCTTTTTGCTGATTTCCAGTAAAACAACAAACCTTACAAAGCCTGTCCTTATTATGGTATGACTTTACTATTAAAAGCTAATATGAGTGGCTGGTGCCTCCTAGCAAAACAGTCTGAATTTTTGTTCACAACATGGAAGCATTAGGCTGGGGCATACAACTCTTATTTTTTCAGGATCTAACTAGGTTGGAAAACTCAAACAGCATTGTATAATGCTGTTCATTCTTAACAGAGAATTATCAAGCCGACATCTGTCAGTTGAGCGATTAGGTCACAGTTCACAAGTATACTGAAAAAAATCACTACCTGAACTGTAAGAATGACTTCAGGGCTACCTTGCAAAACAGTGGTTAGATAGCCTTGAAATCTGTACATGATACTAGAGCATGTTCTTGCATACTTTTGTTCTCCTCTTTCAGTACAGATGACAAGTAGCTTATCAATATGAAGATATGCTATTCAAGGCTGTTTTTATCACAGATGCTTGTCAATCATTTTAATTCAACAGTTGGTCCACCATGACACCTGACGGAGGCCTCACATAATCTCACAGTGTGACACTCCTAAAGTGCCCCACACCAGCAGGGGAACTGCAACTTAATGTTTTTAGAAGCAAGCATTGTCGTGACAACTTTGATTCATGATGTCATTGCTTTGCAAGTTTACCTAACAGCAAAAAAATGATTCCTCCAAAATGTGTCAAATTTAGTAATTGTTAGGCATGGAAACATTGGTGAACCCACTTTGCATCATCCTAAATCTTCCTGATCCTGGAAGATTCCACTTATCCTGAATGTCAGAATTTTATATTGACTTGTGGTGTATTTATCAGTACTTAGTTCGACCATAGGTGAGATGTGGTGCTGTTTATATTCATGACAGCAGATATTACATTTCAGCATAGCCAGGATGCACAGCCACACATGCAACTGTCTGAATGTGAGGCTGGACGTGGTGCAGCTGCTGGCTGAGCCGCCAGCGGACGTGCCGGAGCCGCTGCAGCGCGAGCCACTGCTGGCCGCCGGCTGCCTCTGGGTGCTTCTGGGGCCGGACGGCGCGAGCGTGGAGCATGCTACGCTTCTGCAGCAGCACTCGGTGTCCGGCGCCAGTGACTGGACTGTCTGTCGGTGCCTCAACTGCGGCTGCGTGACGCACGCCACTTGCGACCGGGCCGGCGCCGCCACCGCCGTCAGCAAGTACCTCCTGGTGAGCGAGCCGCGGCGGAAATCACGCCCACCACACCATGGGACGCGGACCCGACGGTCCTGCCAGTCTTGATCGTACGGATTTTCCGATCGAATGTCCCGGCGACATCACCAGCCGCGAATGCGCGCTAATGGGCACTACCCTGACGACTTTGATGAAGTTGCAATCCATAATCCGCATTGTGAAATGTCTTCCCAACTTTTAAAAACAATGAAAAGAGACAGGGCAATAATGCCTTCTTGATTACCGTACATAGATGGTTTAAAATGAGTCTGGCTGTCCTGGTGCGGCCGGTGCGGCCCGTGGCTATCAAGGCGGCCGCCTGCCGTCAGTCGGAGCCGGCGCGGATCGCGGCGCTGCAGCGCAGCGAGCGCTACTCACCGGCCTTCCGGATCGTGCTGCCGCAGCTGGCCGGCGCGCTGGAGCGCTCGCTGGCGCCGCCGGCCAGCCCGCGCTCGCACCCGGCGCTGACGGCAGCGCTCCGCCACATGAAGCTGAACGTCACCTCGTGAGTGGGCAGGCCGCCGCCGGCGCCACCGCCGCCGCCGCCGGCCCGCACGGCAGCGGCAGGCTGCGCCCAGCTGACCTGTTTGGAGTACTCGTGCCATCCCTGGTTTGTTTAGAGGGGACGGGGCGGAGCGGGGGCGTGCCCCTCTCATGTTGCATCTCTAGATTCAGCGCAGTCACTGCGTTGCGATAACTAAAGTACAGCTGGGCTCTACGACATTTCAACTCACTCAAGTGCAGGATTGTTCGTGCACATATATCGTATTTACACATATGATGGATATGTGATATTATCAAATATGGCGTATTTGGGGACCATGTGTTTATCAATAGCATGCGAAGTGTACGTGGATAAAACGTTGGGCTCAAGTGGTGTACGATTCTGTTCTCGATTTCAGTTTCATTAAGCGCGAAGAACACCGGATAGAAACGGTAGTCCAGAACTTCAGGGATGAAAAGCTGGCCGAACTGAAAGAAAGCAAGCAACGGGCTTTCGAGGACTCTCAGGCGTTCAAGAGGTGACAAACCTCTTCGGATAGCGCTTGCTTGTCGATGTACATTCTTCATATGCTGCGGATATTACAACGAAGAGCAACAACGGTATTTCACGTATTGGGGCAGTCCTCATATTACCGAAGCACATTTCATTGACGTATTAGCAAAAACTGAACATACTGTGCGGTCCATTGTGCATTGGTTGCTCGTTTCCGAACGGATAACGGTCAGCCACCGTATATGACCAGCTGCATCTGTCCCAGCGTGGGTCAAGTCACTCCTCCTTCAGTCTGCTGCTGCGGGTGGAGGACCAGCTGCGTCTGTCCCCAGTGTGGCTCTCACCGCCCCTCCCGCAGTCTGCTGCTGCGGGTGGAGGACCAGCTGTGTTTGCCCCCAGTGTGACCCTCACCGCCCCTCCCGCAGTCTGCTGCTGCGGGTGGAGGACCAGCTGCGCCTGTCCCCAGTGTGACTCTTACTGCCCCTCCCGCAGTCTGCTGCCGCGGGTGGAGGACCAGCTGCGCCTGTCCCCATTGTGACTCTTACCGCCCCTCCCGCAGTCTGCTGCTGCGGGTGGAGGACCAGCTGCGCCTGTCCCCAGTGTGACCCTCACCGCCCCTCCCGCAGTCTGCTGCTGCGGGTGGAGGACCAGCTGCGTCTGTCCCCAGTGTGGCTCTCACCGCCCCTCCCGCAGTCTGCTGCTGCGGGTGGAGGACCAGCTGCGCCTGTCCCCAGTGTGACTCTTACTGCCCCTCCCGCAGTCTGCTGCCGCGGGTGGAGGACCAGCTGCGCCTGTCCCCATTGTGACTCTTACCGCCCCTCCCGCAGTCTGCTGCTGCGGGTGGAGGACCAGCTGCGTCTGTCCCCAGTGTGGCCCTCACCGCCCCTCCCGCAGTCTGCTGCTGCGGGTGGAGGACCAGCTGCGTCTGTCCTCAGTGTGACCCTCCCCGCCCCTCCCACAGTCTGCTGCTGCGGGTGGAGGACCAGCTGCGTTTGTCGGCGGACGCCGGTGGCGCACCGCTGTCCTCCGAATCCGAGGGACAGGACACCGTGCCGCCGCTGCGTTCCGAGGTGGGCGCGGCCACCCGCCGGTGGCGGCGACAGAGGCGGGTCTGGCGACGCCCCGATAGGCAGCTGGCACTGACGCTCACGACATTGCTCCTTCGTGCATGACGCTGGCCACAGAGGAGCCGTACTGGGTGATCTCAGGCAGACATGTTTGCAAATGTCAGAAAATTTGAAGCCATCGCCACGGTATTTGTCGAGATTTCTAGACATTCCTGCTCTCGGCTTCTTAGCGTGATCGGTGGTAACACGATCGTTTTGTGTGCTGTGTTGTGCCTTATTTCCCGATTCCTACTGTTGTCTCTGCCTGAAGCTCTGATCCCCACTCTGTCCTCGAAATTACACCTGTCCGGCCTGACACTGCCTCTTTTCTTGTGTCGACAGAAGTTTTCTGTCTTCGCTACCCCTGCCGCCGCCTGTACTGTAACCGCCGCTGTTTCGTGGCTGATGCCGCCCCGTCCGATACTGACGCTGCCTCTGCCGGCACGTGCAGCGGCGGCCCTCTGGTGTGCCCAACCAGGACATGGTTGGCGTGTTCCTAATGGATGGAGATGACATCGAAGTAGCTGAGGAGGTGGACGAACACTTCCTGCAGGTGAGCCGGCCTGGGTGGTGTGGACGCGGCTCCGCAGAACACAGCCGCCTGGCATTGACCGTCTGCGTTAGTGCCAGGCGGCCGGCTGTTTGCATGGAGCTCTGCAGTGCCATGGAGCTCTGCAGTGCCATGGAGTGCTGCAGACAGTCACTCCATGTCGTGGTGTTTCGCGGTCCATTTTCCGACGTGCTGTTTCCTGTAGCCGGTGCTCCAGTCACTGTCATCCATTTCGACTTTTGCGCGGCTTTATCGGCCGTCAGGACGCCGACACGCACGGGCGGGCTGTGCCGTCTGTCTCGGACCCGGCCACGTCCCGTTCTCGGCTGTCCGGAGCAGGCTTCACACCGGGTGCTGAGGCATCCTCCGCGTGTGATCATGCTTCTGGCTCCAGCCGCCTGCTCTGTACGGACTCTGGGTCGTTTGGATCCAGCCCTGTCACGCTGTGGACGTGGCCCTGACTGTGACTGCTGTCTTCGTGAGGTCACTCACGGGTGGTCGCTGACGGGCCGCCGCCGCTGCAGGATGACGAGGAGCCGGACACGGACGACTCGGGCGTGGAGGAGCCGCGCCCGCTGGCGACGCCGGGCCGCGGCTCGCGCGCCGTCGATCTCGCCCACTCGCTGCCCGTGCACATCCCCGTGCCGGCAGCGGTGCTGGCACTGGGTGAGTGGCGCCAGTGCCAGGCCGCGTCGGGCCGGCAGGGTCGGGACACGCGTGTTCAAAGGCTCGGCCCAACTGCCCGTTCCGTTACACGGGGTCGCGCAGTCCGTGGTCATCGTCAAACGCTGCGCACCAGTGAATCGACAGTCACTATCGAGCATACGGCGTTGTCATGCCAGCGGCCGGTGTCATGGGATCTGTGAAGTGGCCTTGTGATTCTGATGCCTTCGTGGACGGGCCGACTGTCAGTTGACAACAGTCCGTTTCGTCGGGAGTGCGGGCACGTGTTGGGCGGCAGCTCGGATCGCCGTAGGGCGGCCGTTGGCGTCCGGCGCTGCCCGCTGGGTCCCGGCACTGCGCACTGCATGCCCGCTGGCGTCCCGTGCGGCCGCTTCGTGAGCTGACCCGAGCGTCCGCCGCGGCAGGCCGCCAGCGCCCGTCGGCCGTGGAGGAGGAGGTGCCGTCCATCGACCAGATGGCCGACTCCATACGCCAGCTGGCGCAGAGTCTGCACACGGAGCCGGGCTGCTTCGCCGACCTTCCGCGACCGCGAACCAACACCATGAACCGCTGACCGGGCGGCCGGGGCGCCGCGCCGCGCCGCGCCCAGTCACGCGCCGCGCCGCGCTGCGCCCAGTCACGCGCCGCTTCACGCCGGGCCGGCTCGAGCCGTGCACACTTGGCTTCGTTCGGCAGGATAACGGCGAGCATGCTCTTGATATCGATACCCCGGACCCCCTCCCCTCCCCGTTTCGGCAGCCTTCTCTTGCCCGGAGCCGGCCGGTCCGCGTCGCACCGAACGCTGCCGCGAGGGCCGCTTATGATAATCTCTTTGGCTGTGTTGTTGGGCCTGCGCGAGCTGTTACTGGCGCGCAGGTGCCGTACGGTTTGCCGTTACAGATGTGTGCTGCGGCGTGTTGAGGCACTTGTTCCCGCCTGGACTGAGGGTGGCGTCGTCTTGGGCGAGCTGTCGGGTCGCGTGATTTTGTAGAGTAAGTACGTGGGTTGCCTGCCGATGTTTTGGCGGAACATCGTGCGCTGTGTTCGGAGCAGCAGACCGGTGAAGACTCCGCCGGCGTCCAACTGACGCGCTCGGACGTCTTCAGCGGCTATGGGCAGCACGCGGATAATTACCCCGGACAGCAATCGCTTCCAATGGAACCCTTCTGTCTGAGCCGGCGGGCGACTATGACGGTGTGGCGGTCGGTCCGGCCCCGCCGGTGGTTTGACCTGGAACCACCGACCGACGCTCGGAGGGCCCGTCCTCCGCGGGTGCGTCCGCAGCGCCGCGCTGCGCGTGACCTGCGGACCTGTGATCTGCGGACCTGCCGCCGCTACAGCCGCGGGCAGGGCGAGCCAAGCCCGGCCTACGGCGTGCGCGTTCACACTCGGGCTGTGCTGAGCTCGGCGGCGCCGCAGCCGGGGGTCGACCTGCCTGACTGGCGCGAGGCGCCGCGGTCCGGTCCGGCCCCGCTCCCCGTCAGCGGACGGGACGGGGCCGGCGCGCGGTCGACCTGCCGGGGCCGGGGGTCAACCTGCCTGATTGACGCGAGGCGCCGCGGTCCGGTCCGGGCCCGCTCCCCGTCAGCGGACGGGACGGGGCCGGCGCGCGGTCTCCAGCCGGGGGTCGACCTGCCTGAGTGTGAGGCGCCGCGGTCCGGTCCGGCCCCGCTCCCCGTCAGCGGACGGGACGGGGCCGGCGCGCGGCCTCTAGCCGGGATGGCTTCGGAGACGACCCGGCTCGCCGGCCGAATGCTGAGACGGTGACGCCGGCGCGGCTCAGCAGCGGGCGCCGCGCCGGCGTACTGAGCCCTGCACCCGCCGCAGCGCTGCGCGGTCGACCCACCAGCCTGGCACTAACACTACGGCCTGTCGGACCCGTGCTGGACAGCTTACCACGCTTTGGCGCCGTTGCCCTGCGCGCAACCGCGGGCGGTGCAAGAAAGGGTCGCTCGGCGTGTCCGGTCTGCTCGGGCCCGCAGCGGGGCTCCAGGGCGGGTCGGTCGGGCTTCGCCCCGAAGGTCGCTATGTTGGCGTCTCTGTGCCAGAAGTTCGACGTTCCGATGGGAAATAAATGGCCATGGTGTGCGATCGCGTGTAGCCACCGGTGAGCTCTGGAGTAAGGCATCGCGACGACCGGCCACCACGCCGTGACCAGAGTGGGCTCAGTGCGGGTGTGGACATGAACCACTCCGGCCTGCGTCGTGAGGTGACCAGGACAGAATCGGAGCGCGCCCCTGCGTGTATTATTCCAACGAGCAAAGACCATCACTGAATGTATAAATTACCACAATAGCGCGTGCTGGCGCGCCCACGCATCGGGGGCGAGTGACGAGGGGCCGTGGCCTGCCAGCACGCGGCGAACACAGGGTATGCACGGGGTGGACTAAAACATTGTATACAGTAATCTCCACAAGCTCGCGGGGTCGGACGGGCCATCCGTCCGTCCCGCCCGTGGCGGGCAGCTTGTGACGGGGCAGGCGGCGCGCACGGTCAGCGCCAGCCTGCCGGCCACGGGCTGGCCTCACAACATGCACACACACAGAGACACGCACACAGACGTCCGCCGACTAGGTGCACCGCGCTCAGTCAGCCTTCTTCTCGGCTGCCGGCTTCTGTGGGGCTGGCTCGGCCGGCGCGCCCTCCAGCGGCGGCGCAGCGGTCGCGCCGTCGGCCGCCGGCTGACCCCGGCGCTCCAGCATCTCCTGCGAGTAGCCGAACTCGTTCATGCGGCTCGGGTCGACGCGGTAGATGTAGCGCTGGTACAAGAAGATGAAGAAGACGACGTCTGCAGGCGAACGGGGCGCGGTCAGTGGCGCGCGGAGCTCACCCGACAGCGGAGGGGCGGGGGCACGCGGGGCACGCGCCGGCAACACCGCCGCCGCCTGCACGGCACGCTGCCATACTGTCCACTCCTACAGCGCTCAGGAAACGCTGCTACCCTGTCAATTGATACAAAACAGCTCGAAGATCGACATCGCCGAACAATGGGCAACACAACGCAGACCATCGCGAGCAAAACTCTGCACTGGATGGTACATTACAACATCAATGGCGCCGCTCACCGTCTCGCAGACAGCCAATTCTGTACATCATCGGCATCTTGATGACGAAGGCGAACATGTCGTCGATGAACGTGTTGAGCGCCTTGTACGTCAGCATGCGCCACGGCAAATGGGCAACCGACTTCATCTTGTAGTTGATGAATAGCTGAGGCGTCATCATGATGAAACCTGCCGAAAAAGCCGCGGTCGCTCAGGGCACGAAACACTCTGCGACGCCACGGACGTCACCAAGCAAGTGTTTTTAGTTGTTTATGCTGCTTTTAGCAACCGGGGTCGTGTCATGACACGGACGGCGGTTCCAGTTCATCACAGATTAAAGCAAGACTGCACAAACCGCCCGTTCCGTGGTCTTCAGAGGCGCACTTACCGAAGGTCAGTAGGAAGCCATACAGCATGGAGAGCACCCACGAGTACCAGCCCTTGTGCTCCATGTACACCACGCTGTACACGGCGTATCCGCCCAACAGCGGGAAGAGCGCCCAGGACAGGTACCTGAAGAACAGGGGACGCCAGCCGTCACACACACGCACACGTGTCCACTGTCGTCGCGCGGCGGCGGCGAGCGCGGCCTGGCCCCCGCTGACCGACCGTCGGACACAGGCCTGCGGCTGCGCCGGTGATCACCAGTGCTGGCGGGCACGGCTCGGCCGCCGGCGGCCGGCCGGCAGCACGTCACAGCAGCCCGACTAGCCGTCCAGCACGCGCCCCGAGTACTGCCATGACGCACGTCCGCCATGCCCCGTTGCTCGCAACTGAGGAGGGCGCCTTGCCATCCCGTGCCTTTCAATCCCCAGCATACGGTTTTGTTGGTTTTTGTTTTGTTTTTGGCATTAGAGCCCTTTCGACCAGAATCGAACATACCCGGGCTATGGGATGACGTGGCTGACGCACACAGCCTGCCCCGGACAAGCGGGGCGTCGCGAGGATGCAGGATGAAGCGAGATAAAGGATAAAAGGGACGAATGTGTACGCTTTCAATTCACAAGCGTGGTGTGATAAGAGCTGAGCGACCTCGGCCGGGCACCAGCCCGCCGCCACAGAGTGATCACAAGCCCAGGCGACCTCGCCCAGTACCACGCGGTCACCACCCACCTGAAGGCCAGCTTGTCGTATTTCCGCGTGCTCGATTCCACGTAGGAGCCTTTGTCGGCGAACGTGACGCGTGGTATGATGCCCAGCAGTCGGTTCTGCCGGTCGATCTTCACGTCCGACACCTGGCGGACGTGGTAAGAAGCTAGAGTGAGGTGCGCGGCCGCAGAGTGGTGCCGTGGCGATGGCAGGCTTGACCACGCATCCCGTCATATGCAAATTGCGCCGGACATCCAAAGAAAAGACATCAGCGCCGGCCTCACGTAAGTAGCTCACGGCGTCCCAGCGCGGGAGCCGGTGGCAGAGCGGCTGAGCGCACCCTAAGTCGACCGGTCCCCCGCAGCTCAATGTCCCAGCTCAGCTCCGACAGCAGCAGAACCTTGAGCGTCCAGAGGCCATCTCCGGCGCGAGTTCACCACAGTGATGCCGACACACGCACCCGTCTCGCTGGAGGCGCAAGACCTTCCCAACCGACCGCCGCACGTGGCGTGCGACGAGCTCACCTTGGTGATTTTCCATAGCTCGATCAGCAGACCGATGCCGCAGCTGATCTTGATGACGGTGTTGGTGTCGTTGTCCAGGACGTAGAGCAGAATGACGACCGCCTGGAACACGCCGAAGAAGACGGAGCGCACCGACAGGCCCTCCAGCGACTCCCGGTTGTTCCAAAACTGGATATCTGTAAGGCAGAGTGGTGTCTCAGTTAGTCTATGTGGCTGGACGTGTTGAAAGAAGCCCGTCAAGTTACGCCCAGGATGACTTGGAAGACACCACGGACCTACCAACTACATACACGCATCATAAACCCACTTGATCAACAACATAAACGCAGCCAGCTCGGCTCAAGTAATAGCCCGTAGTGGGATAGCAGCGCCGCATGAAACGGGCACCGGTTGGAGAGCACTGCCGAAAGCATCGGGGGACAACAGGCATGTGACATCCAGTCAGGACGCCACCACTGAGTTTGCATCGGGCGGCGGCGGCAGGGCGGACAGCAGCCGCCGCCCGCGAGAAGGCCGGTCTCCCGCGGCGGCCCACCGACCGTTCTTGAAGGCGAGGAACTCGAACACGCTGTGCAGCAGCGACACGGCCACAGTCAGCGCCATCAGGTAGACGTTCGTCTCCAGGATCGCCTCCTTCATCGAGTCCTGGCAGGAGAGCGACCGGGCCGTCAGCGTTGGACGGTGCCGGTCTGCTGAGCACAGCACCAGGCAGTGCCGGGGGGCAGGCCGCCACAGCGCCACACCAGACTGGCAGCAGTGGGGAGATGCTGCCGAAAATTCGGGCAACAATCTGGACGACAGGGCCGGATAGAGGCGAACAGGACCGGACAGCACTGGACAGACGCGGGTAGGGCAGTGCAGCACTGGACTGGGGCGGACAGGACGGCGCAGCACTGGACTGAGGCAGGCGGGGCAAT